CACCGGGCTGGGGTCGCGCGGGGACGGTGGCCGGGCTGGCCTGCCTGCCAGGCTGGCATGTCCTTGGGAAAGGGCTGTGGGGGGGTGTGTTTGTGTGTCACCCCTTTGTTGTCCTAATGACCCCCCTCTACTCCTGTGTGGGTCTGGTGAGACCTGTGGGGGGTAAGAGCCACCCCTTGCTCAGCACTGGGGGTGGGGGGCTCTGCGGTGGGGGCTGTGTGTGATGGGGTCGGTGGGTGCCAGGGCTGACGGGGCTCCTTCTCTCCCCCAGGTCAACGATTTCTTGTCGGGACGGTCCCCGCTGACCCTGGCCCTGCGCGTGGGCGACCATATGATGTTTGTGCAGCTCCAGCTGGCGGCCCAGCAGAGCAGCGGGCAGCTCCAGCACCGGCACGTCATCGCCAGCCGCGGCGAGGCGGGGGCCGCCGCCAGCCCCCACTGCCGGACGCTGCACGGCGGCACCGGCTCCGGCTTCGCCCGCATCCCCGTGGTGCCCGCCTGCCAGCAGAGCCCGGCCCCCAGCCCCGCGCCCGCCACGCCGGCCCCCCCCATGTACTGTAACGCCCCCCACCCCGCTCCCGTCACCGCCGGGATGTTCCGGTCGCACGGGGCCAGCGCGCAGACGGTGAACAGCAGCGTCGTCTCCTCCTGCTCGGAGGTGAGTGGGACCTGGGGGGGGCTCCTGGTGACTTTGGGGCAGGGGGAGCAAAGCTGGGTACTTCCCAGCCCTGCTGTGGTGATGCCCTTCCCTGCCTCAGTTTCCCCACGCCTGGGGGGCAAGGGTGTTCCCCTGCCTGGTTTGCAAAATGCCCCCAGGTCCTGGGGTGGGGTGGGAGGACTGGGGGGGACAGGGTATAATCCAGGCTCATCTTCAGACCCTGCCCATCCCCACAGCCGGGCAGGAGCTGCTGCTCCCCAACCTTGCAGAGCTGCTCTGGGTTGGGGGGTGGCTGCCGGGACCCCCGGGGCTGGGGACACCAGGGGGTGGCACAGCCACAGTCCCTTGTGTCCCAGTAAAACGGGTTGGTGGCGTGTGCTGGGGCTGCTGTGGGGTCTCCTGGTCTGACCTGGCTGTTTGAGGGGCTGGGTCCCCCCCCGCAGTGTCCCCTGAGGCTGATCTCGTGTCTCCCCCCCCCCAGGTGGACTGCGGCACCCGCAGCAGCAGCTCCCCGGGCGGGAGTCCTGCCCCCACGGCCCGATCCCGCAAACCCGGGGCCGTCATCGAGAGCTTCGTCAACCACGCGCCTGGGGTCTTCTCAGGGACCTTCTCCGGTAGGTGATGCTGAGCCTCCCCGGGGGGCTGCGGCGGAGGGGCCGGGGGCACCGCGAGGGCTGCGGGTTCAAGGAGGGGGGGCTGCTCGTCTCACCCCCACCTCTCTCTTACCCCCCCACCACCACTGCAGGCACTTTGCACCCCAACTGCCAGGACAGCAGCGGGCGGCCGCGGCGGGACATCGGCACCATCCTGCAGATCCTGAACGACCTCCTCAGCGCCACGCGACACTACCAGGGCATGCCCCAGTCCCTGACGCAGCTCCGCTGCCAGACGCAGTTCTCCTCCTCCTCCTCTTCCTCACCTCCTGCCTCCCCGGACCTCGCCACCAAAACTACCTCAGAGCCACTGCCGGCGGCCGCGGCCTCCCCACCTCTGCACCCCGTCGTCCAGTGCCAAAGCCAGATCCGCATGTGCAAGCCCAGCGGTAAGTTCTGGTGGCCTCTGCCCCACGCTTGTGTGGCCCCCCCACATCTGGGTGGGGGGATTTGGGGGGGGCTTGGTCAGCCCCTCTGCCTGCAGCCTGCGCCGCTTTCGGGGCTCCATGGGATGGGGCATAGCGGGCGGCCGCGGCGGGACATCGGCACCATCCTGCAGATCCTGAACGACCTCCTCAGCGCCACGCGACACTACCAGGGCATGCCCCAGTCCCTGACGCAGCTCCGCTGCCAGACGCAGTTCTCCTCCTCCTCCTCTTCCTCACCTCCTGCCTCCCCGGACCTCGCCACCAAAACTACCTCAGAGCCACTGCCGGCGGCCGCGGCCTCCCCACCTCTGCACCCCGTCGTCCAGTGCCAAAGCCAGATCCGCATGTGCAAGCCCAGCGGTAAGTTCTGGTGGCCTCTGCCCCACGCTTGTGTGGCCCCCCCACATCTGGGTGGGGGGATTTGGGGGGGGCTTGGTCAGCCCCTCTGCCTGCAGCCTGCGCCGCTTTCGGGGCTCCATGGGATGGGGCATGTGGCTGGGGCTGGGGTTTGGCATCTCTTTGGCGTCATCAGTCCATCTTGTCACACTTAAGGGGGGCAAAGAGGGGCTGGAGCCCCCCAGGCCAGAGCTGAGCCCCCCCATTTTGCACGGGATCATCTTCCCTGCAGAGCCCGGTGCTGGAGTCATTAGAGCCCTGTTTTTTTTATATTTTTATATTGTTTTCTCCCTGTGAGGACTGGCCGGTCGCTGCTCCTGACACAGCTGGGGGTGCTGGAGGGGGCACGGGCACCCCGGGGGTCCCCACTCCCACCCACAGCAGAGGGGGCCGGCAGGCAGGATGGGGGGGCAGCGAGCTTTGGTTGAGCCCCCCCCGGGGCTGGGAATGATTGACAGGTGTCAGTCAAGGTGGGGACCCGGGGGGGTTGCAGGGGGAAAGGTTTGCTCCTGACCCTGCCCCTGCGGGGGTGGGGGGCAGCCAGCACCCGTGGGAACGTGGGGAGTCCCCCCCACCCCGGCCCTGCTCCTCCGCTGGCCGCAAAACCCTGCGGAGACAAAGGATCCCATTGAGGGGGGGGGAAACACGTGGGCAAGGGGGGGGTCTGGCCGTGCGTGGCCAGGGACAGGCAGCTGCGGTGTCCCCGTCCCCCAGGAGCTCTGGGCTTGTCCCTGTTGCGTGGGTGGAGGTTTTTGGGGGTGCGGGGGGGACACGACACCCAGACTCTGGCTCCTCACCCCCCTCCCCATTTGCAAACCCGCTGCCCCGGGCTGGGGGGGGGGGGG